TCTAGCAAGATAGTATTAAGTAATTTTTAAATGACAGCAATAAAATAAATTATAACTAGGTTGAAAAACATCACACTCTGTCTGGAAAAGTGAAATTGGCTTTAAAACAACATTCAGTAATTGGTTGCATACAGAGGGACATTCAAGATGGTACAGGACAGTTTTTCATTAACAGATAAAAAATATATTCAAGAAAACATGCATATATTGTTATGAAGGTAAAATTAAAGCAAAAAAGCTTAAACCAGGATAAAGGTGTTGTTAGAATAAGTTAGAATGAATAATATAGAGCAGTATTGAAACTTTAAGCAAGTATTGAAACTTCAAGTATTTAAACTAAGTATAAATAGAAATACAAGTAAAACAGTGAAATTTTAAAATAGTATCAGTTCATGGTAAGTCATATAGGTAAAATATAGAGAATATCAGGATATCTGAATAATGGAGTATATTAAAGTGTTTACTTGGAGAAATACACCTTCTTTGCAAATATTCATGCATCATCTACAAAACTAATTATATACTATAACATAAAATATATTTAAAGATTTATTTCAAAATAGTTTATCCATATCCTTATATCACAACCAAAAAAGATCTGGGTTAGTTATGCATATGAGGTCTGTCTGGAAAAAGTCCAACCATTGTTAATACAATGAGAACAGCTTGCATGACATCAATGTAACAATGACTACTTCACTGTACTAGTCAGTGGGCATGGTAGATGCCAGCTGAGTGAGCATGTGTACTGTGTGGCTATTACATTCAAAATGAGTGAGCAAGTGGAGCAACAAATACATTAAGCTTGAACATTCCTCTGCAGAAACTATTCAGATGATTCAGAAGGCTGCAGCTCTGGGCTACTGGTGATTGGCATCACAACAATGCACCCACTCATGCATTGTCTTGTGCAGTGTTTTTGGAGAAATATCAAATCACCCAGATAACTCAGCCACACTACATCTCAGATTTGATGCCCTGTTACTTCTGGCTTTTCCCAAAATTAAAATCACCTTTGAATGGAAAGAGATTTCAGACTATGAGATTCAGGAAAATACAATGGGGCAGCTGAAGGTGATTGGGAGAACTGAATGAAGTCCCAAATTACCTCCTCTGAAGGGGACTGAGGCATCATTGTCCTTTGTACAATGAATGTTTCTTGTGTCTTTTATCCTCTTTAATAAAGATCTCTATTTTTCATAGTGCATGGCTGGATACTTTATGGACAGGCCTCATATAAAACAAGAAAAAATTGTTTTAAAGCACTGAACAGTGTCCTAAGTAATGTCTAGGAGATAACGAAGGAAGATTATTTAGAAAATAATTAAAGGGAATATTGCAAACCAATATTATTGTTGACAGAAACAAATTTATGTCCTTAAATAATTTTAATATAAAAATGAAAAAAACAAATCACTTTATTCTCCAACTCAGACCAAAAGGCAAAGGTTAGAAAAAGGACAAAAAGTCACCTCAGAAAATACAGAAAATGAAATAATAAAAGATACAAAGAAAAAAATTATAAAACAGAAGCAGAATTTATAAATTAATGCAGAAACTAGGGAGAACACCAAATAATAAATGAAGTTCTAGAAAATCAAATATAAAAGAAAGAAAAATGTAAAGGATTATTTTAAAAATCTGACTATAAAAGGAGAGGAATTGAGAGTTTAAAGGAAATTTTTAAAAATTATAAGAAAATACATAAAATCATATAAAACCACTCTGACATCTCAAGAAGTCCTGGAATACAGAATCGTCCTTCACCATTTCATAGGAATCAGTGCAGGCTATTAGCTTAAATGTCCTGTGATTACATTCTACTATAAAATCTGTCAAAAAATAGAAGGAAGAATCTCACATGGGATGAATACAAATGGAAAAAATAAAATAAAATTGATATTCTACAACATCCAGGACATATATCAGTTATTATTAGAAAATCCATGTAAAGTAAAAAAAAAAATAGTTTATAGGTTAATAAAAAAATAATTCTATTTAAATAAATGCAAAAGTCCATTTACAAGATTCAAGATTTATTCCTAATAATAAAGCTACTAACAATTTGAAATAGAAGGGCATTTTCTCAACATTAAAAATCTTTACTCAAAACAAATAATTAACATTATATAGATGTAATGTAATATTAAGGCTATTCTTAATATAAATAGATATATTCTCTACATCTTACACAGGTAATATTGCTTTGATGATCTTATTAACAAGGCACGATGCAAAATTAAAAAACATAACTTATTAAAAGAAATGAAATGATATGTAAACATCTGTGTATGTTTGATTACATCTCTATAACTCAGAGGAATTGATTAAAATCTATTAGAATTAAATAAAAAATCAACAATGTTACAAATAAAGCAGTTCTTTCTAAATTTTACAAATATTCAATATACACGGTATGGCAAAAGTAGATTTATAATTGCTTGCATGGAAAATAATACAATAATTAAAAACAGTATTTGATAGTAAACTTTCTTTGTTTCAAGTATTCACAACTAAAAACCCACTTTTGCCCCACCCTGTAAATGTTTATAAGTTCATTCAACAAATATTTTTGGACAAATATTTATGTTGGGGCCCGAGCACTTCTCTAAGGAGCTGGGGATTCAGCAGTAAACAAGCCAGAGCCCCTTCCCTGGTGGAGATTAGGATCCAGTGGGACAATGAGACTAAACAAGTAAGTAACTGCATACTATGATTTCAGGTGGCCAAAATGCGCTGAAGAAAAATAATATTGGAGAGAGGAATAGAGAGTATATTTTAGATATTAGTTTCCTATTGATGCATAACAAATCACCACAAACTTCATGGCTGAAAGCAACACCAATGTATTATCTCACATTATCCATGGTCAGGGATCAGGGCCTATGGTTCACTGGATTCTCTGCTTAAGTCTCACAAGGTTGTAGTCAAAGAGTCAGCCACGGCTGCGTTGAATCTGAGGCTTGGGGTCCTCTTCCAAACTCAAGTGCTGGTGGCAGAATTCAGTTCTTGCAGCTGCAGAACTCGTGGCGGCAGAGGGACAATGTCTGCGACCTCCACTCGGAGTCAAGGGCTGTCACCTAATCATGGGAGTTAGATCGCACTGAATCACGGGTTCCGCCTGCCCAGGGTCAGGACACCAGGGGCATGGAGGTCATGGAGCCACCTTAGAATTTTGCCTCCTACAGGTAGAGTGGTCAGGGAAGGGTTTTCCATGTTGTTTACTTTTGAGCAAATACCTGGGAAAAAGATCAGAGACTGTGCTTTATAAAGGTGACTAGCAGAAAATATAGCAGTACATTGGGACTGGCTTTTTTTGACTCACATTATATGTCTATTGTCAGTACTATGATACACACTGATAAAATGCTTTATAATAATGCTGAAAATAAGCACTATGTGCATTCCTATTTTACCAATGAGAAAACTGAGGTTTCAAGAGGTTAACCAAACCCTTAAGTTCACACAGTGGAAATGTGCTCAGACCAGGATGTGAACCTAGGTGAGGAATGGAGCCGCGGAGCAGGTTCGCAGGAATACCCCCTGTGCTGTCACGCAGGGGACACACTCGGGAGCACTCAGTGCTGGGTTTAATGCTCCACCGTCACCATTTTGAGATTCTTAATAATTTTATCTTAGAACGCAGTTTTTGAGAGAAGTCCTAGGAGACAACAGAACATGTGCATGAGCAGAGGGGATGTGCACAACGTGAGCACCTGCCCTTCCTTGCCAACCTGCAGCATTTGGGAAGCCGCCTGGCACAGAGTTCCAGTGGCCCCGGGATGGTGAGAGCTCAGGGAGACTCAACGCCAGTACAAGGCCAGCATGTTCTGTCTACGACTAAGTCATCGGGGGTGCTGACAGCCCTGAGAGGCGACACCATTTTCCTTTGAACCACACGCCTTTTGGGGATCCTGGAAACAGCTGTGCCCATGAGGTTAAGCCCAGGGACAGTGAACAGGGTGGGAGTGAGAGAGCACTGGGGACTGTCCCTAGAAAACTGAAAATGTATGGGAATCCTAAACCAATGACTTATCTCCAATGAGTCTCCTCAAATGGCAGCACGTTATTCTAATAGAGCTTTTGGAAAACACTCCACCTTGAAGACTGTACAACCAAGTGAAGTGTAAAATCTGGGACCAGACTTCTGTGGGGTGATGTACCTCAGTTGATTATATGGCAGTCTCACTCTACCAAACGCCACTTTGGCCACCTCCATGACTGCTTGAAATGCTCTCGGGACAGATTTATTACCAAACTTGGGGGTGAGATATATATAAAACATGTGAGATGCATTCCTGAGATGGATGATATTTTAAGCTTTTATTATTCATTTGTAATTTACTGAAAAAAACCCCCTAAAATTTGCTATTTAACATTCACAAAATTAAGTAAGTCTAAAAGAACTTTAAGCTCTGTACCTGGGTTCCTGTAAGTTGGATTTGAGGACATATATGATCCTGAGTGTAAATGTCTGGGTACAAAATTTCCAGGTAGTATTTCAGTCCTGCAGGGTAGTGGACAGGTGAGACCAAAGTCAAGGCCTCCAAACTTTTAAGCGGACCCAGGTAATATTTGGGTTACAGAGGAAACAAGAAGAGCGTTCATTAAGGTAAACATATGATAAGTTAACAGGCAGACTGGAAAATAGGACAGCAGGGTAGGGCAGAAGGACCTAGAGCCCCAAGAGGCGTGAAGGGAATCTGCTGGTCTGGTGCAGGGAGGGGCTGGGGACACGCCCTCTTCAAGGTGTACCCTCCCCCACCCTCAGAAACCCTCTGTGACTCCTCAATGCTGTGTGATGCAGGCCTGGCAATAAAGAGTCTGCACTCTCAGACCTCAGTTGCGTCAAGCAGCATTGCCATTCTGAAAATGGGACCCAACCTATTTCTGGATAGCCTTCGAGAGCTCTTTCTGAGCTTCCTCTCAGAACCCTTATATAGTACCCGCAGCCTAACTTACATCAGTGTGTTGTGGTTGTTCCTCTTCTTATTCTGTTTCCTGGTGGGAATTCCATCAACTCCAGCCTGCTGGGAAAATGAACAAACTCAAAAGGTAAGGATCCCTGAGCGAGCCCCGGCAGAGATTCTCTACTGTTGTTTCCATTTCTGTGTGAGTTTGGTTGAGTTAGAGAAACACCAAAGATGGCATGTCTGAAGAGAGACTAGGACATCACTCTTCCAGGGGAAGAGACCAGGGAGGGTTCGGGTCAGGGAGGACTCAGGTTACCATATGAAGCTCACAGACCATCTGGGTGTGGTGGCACGTTTCTGGCTAAAATTCCAAACACAGTGATTCCCTAGGTCTGGATACTTTGGGATCTCTGCAGGACGTCAGAGTTAACCAGCACTTTAGCATGAGGCATGTTCCCCTGTGAGGCGTCACTAGACCAAGCCTTTGTGTTGGGCTGACCAGGAGGGCAGTGCTGAGCCTCTGAGCACAGGCTGCAGCCTGAGCTCCGTCCCCGGTTACAGGGTCCCATCTGAGGGAGCAGAGAGGCGACTGCAGGCCTTGGGTTACATGCCCAGACTGAGCGGAGGACCTTGGGGAGTATCGAGTGTGGATCTCATAGACAAAATCCTTCCTTGAGCTTTTCAAAGAAGGAAAAATTGGTTTAAAAAAAAAAACAACACAAAATTCTATTAATTAAAATGATCTTGGTTGGCTCAGAGAGACATTATTCTTAAATACTAAATGATAAATATCTGGGTTTTCTAAGGAGAGGAGTAAGAGAAATGAGTCTCAACCCCTCATTTTTTTCCTTTTGTTCTCAGCATTGGGGCAGTTCCAAGAGGAGAAGGAAAGGGGGGACACTGAAAAGTAAGGTTCTGCCGACCCCACTGTCTCTCTCTCTCTCTCTCTCTCTCTCTCTCTCTCTCCAAGGGCGACACTGTCTCTCTGTCTCTCTCTCTCTCTCTGTCTTTTCCATGAGGTACCAGGTCCACATTCACTGTGGGTCAGTAGATAGTCTTTCTCAGAAAACAGAGCCCTCAATGGGGAGGCTCACGGAAGGACAGTCAGAGCCTGCGATGTCTCAGATTCTCTGCTCTGCTGTCCCTGGGTACGAAGCAGTGATGGACCTGGGCAAGGGGTGGTGCCCAGCAGATGTGCAGAGTCAGAACTTCTGTCTCCTGACTTCGTGAAAGTACCTTGGCTTCAGGCTGGTCAGATTCCTCTTTGTTGTAACCATTGACCTCTCTGCTTCACAGAGTGGTTTTGAGTATCAAATGAGATAATGTATATAAAAGTACTTTATAAATGAGGTAACACACATGGGGGGACCTTACTAATATCATGGATCATTTGACCTCATCTATTAATTCTTGGGGCTTTCAGAGTCTACTATCCCAAAGGTCTTCCATTAAGGGATGCCTGTATAATACCTATGTGCCTACCTTTATTACATGTAACCCACTCTCCTGGTTTACCAGGTTCAAGATATTACCACAGGGAAAAAAAGAAAAGGAAGCTGAATTCTAGACTGAAAAGGTAATAGTCTTTCCCCACTTTTCCTGATCTCTCTTTGGCATGTTCTATACAATTCCAGGGATACAGTGCAGCCTTCCATAGTCATGGGAGGTGATTGCCATGGGAACGGGAATGTGAGTGAATGCCTTGGGCTGAGTGCTACTGAGAGCACTGTGAAGTCATGAATGTGGAGCAAGTGAAGGGGCAGCAGGTTTCAGGTGGTCCCACCCCCACCAGGCCAATAGGCCCTTCTTTCCTTGTTCTGGTCCTGGCTCAACATTGTACCTCCTGTCTCCTGCAGCCCCCTGGGCCAGCGTCATGATACCATCTGCTTTTGCCACTGTTTATGTCCAGACCTGTCCTGTAAGGCGTATGATAGCACAGACACTGAGCTCAGTTGGCTGCCATCCTCAGAGGCCCTGGAAGATTCTTCTTCCTCTGTGTCTCCTCTGCCTTCCACAGCTCCTGTGATTGAGCCATCGTTCACTCAGTCCCCTGCCTTCTCAGCAGACCCTCCAGGAGACCTAATCCCACCTCCTCTGGTTGAGCCTTTCCTACCACCCCGCTCTGTTCTCTTCCCCAACCCAAGGACCCCCTTGGGTAATTTTTTGCCACCCTCACCACCGGGTCAAACTCTGCCCCCAGAGCCTTTTCCTCCCTTGGAATCCAAATTCCCAGTGCACCATTCCCCATCTCAACCCAAAGGCTCATTCTCTTCAGATTTGGCACAATGTGAAATCCATCAAAAGTTTTCTGCCTTCCATTCTACAAAGACTTCTTTTGGGGGAGATGCTGCTGCCAAACTGATAGACCCTGGGCACCTCCTGTTTCTCAGCCTTGATGACCATGACTTGGTAAAGTGGTTCTTATATCCTAAGACCAGGGAGGACCACTTAAAGCAAAAACTTATCCAGCTTTTCTGGGGTCTTCCATCTCTGCACAGTGAGTCCTTGTCCTCTGCTCTCCATGTTTTGGGTGACTCTTCCTCAATCTTTATTTTCAATAGCATTTCTATCGCCTCTCCAGGTCAGGAGTCCCCTGTGCTTCCTTATTTCCTACCTCCGTCCTTGCTTGAGGTCCAACCTCAGCCCTTGCCTCCAACCCTGCCCCAATCCCAGCCCGAATCTCTCACTCAGCTCCAACCCCAGGACCACCTTCAACCCCCAGTCCCGATTGTACCATCCAGTCCCACCCCACAGCATAGGGACTGTGGAGTGCATTTCCATGGACCCCAGAATGAATTAGAATGTCTCACTTCATCTGAAATTCAACGCTTAGAATGGAATGTGTTGCAGAAGAAACAGGAAAGTTTGTGGGGCTTACCCTCCATGGTTCAAAAGTCTGGGGAAGACTTCTGTCCTTCAGCTCCCCCCACTCCTTGCCACTGGCCCTCTAAGGCATCCGTTGCAATCTCCATTGATACTGTAGAGTTTCCTCTCAGCACTGAACTTCGAGAGAAATTTGAGTGTCACCTTAGAAAGAAGCTCATTTATCACAGGTGGGGCCTGCCCCGCAGGATCTATGAGTCTGTGTCACTGATGATGCCACCAAACCACTGCTCGGACATATGTGAGTCAAAGAGCAGTTATGGCCTATCATGGATCTCTGTGTTTAAGAGCCAGAGTAGCCCACAAGGAAGTTTCTACGAGATGGGCTCAGAAATGTTTCAGCTAGAGGAGGACGAGGGGACGAGTGAGGGACACAGCCAACGGAGTGATCCGAAAGATTTGTTGAGTGACTCAGAGAGCTCTTCAGATAAGGATGTGGGGCATGACTCGGAGAAAGACCTACCCATGACGAGTCTGTCAGAAGAAAACTCAGGGGTGTCAGGGCAGAGTGAAAGTCAGAGACAACTGGAGCAGGTCCTGAAAGTACATCTGAGCAAGAAGTTTGAGGAAATCAGTGAAGGCCAGCTCCCCGGGACTGTGAATGGTTCGTGGCACACTATTGAGGAGAATTCTTCTGTAAAATCAGACAGTGAAATAAAACTGAGAAATTTGCCACCATCAGTGGATGGGGACTACTGCCTGAGTATGTCCCAGGAGCTCTCCTTCCTTGAGTCCGGTGTGCAGCAGATGCTGGATGCCCACATTACCAAACTTCATGTAGGGATATTGTGGGGCCTTCCCACCAAGGTCCTTGAATCCTTAGAGATCTTTAAAGTGAAAGATTCTTCATCCCATTCCTCGTTCGATTCCCACTCTTCCTCCTCAACCAACCTGATGCCGGAGACAAACTCCAGATCTGGGGGATTCACCTCCCTGAGAGGAAGCTCTGAATCCCTTCACAGTGAAAATATGGGAACAGAAAACTCAGCCACTGTCCTGAATACGACTCCCTCTACCACCTCACTCGTGGGCAAGGAAGGACAGGGGACGCCAATACAATCACCCTCTGATATCAAGCACAGCCTTGTAGAGGAGGTTCGCAGAAATGGGGACACTAGGCAGACTCCTCTGCCTGTCACAGACAGCATCACTGGCAAAACAAGCCAGGGACACTTTCCAAGAGCCAACATTCACCCCCCGGAGCTGCCTGCAAAGCAAGCCGGGGCCGGACGTGAGCCAAAGGATAAGAGCGTGAATTCCAGAGACAGAGCAGAAATGCAGCTGGGCAAAAATATGGAGAAGAAAGCAGAGCCTGCTTCCATGTCCAATGTGTCCAGGGAGACAGTTAAGGCCGAGGAGCTCAATGCTGTTCAACATGAAACTAATGACATCTTGACAACCAACAAGGTGGGAATTTCCCAAAGAACAAATGTGAACGAGACTAAAGGAACAGCTACTGTAACCACTAAAATGCCCCCACCAAAAATACCAGATCCTAAATCATCAGAATTTAACAAGCAATTTATTGATGAGTTAAAGTATAAATTGGAGAAGATAAAGAACAGACAGGACCAAGGCCAACCCACTGACGTGTCCCACGAGACTAGCAAAGCCTCCCTGCCTCATGCTCAGGGCATCTCCAGCGCGGACATGGGCGCTGCCCAGGTGCTGCATGTCCATTTGGAGGACAAAACAGTCAGCATGGAGCAGGGGCAGGAGCCTTGGGTCCCTAAGCAGGTGTTAATGTTGTGTCCAGATAAGAATTTCCCACCAGCAACAAAGAAAGTGAGCCCCACAAGCTCCAAATCGGAAGAGCTTGGTGGGGGGGATGCGGGGTTGGTAACATCCCAACCTGGAAGAAAGAGAGCTCCTGCTCAGGTGGCATTAGAGGAGACAGTTGGGAGCAAGTCTCCCCAGACCCTGCCACAGAAGAGACAGTCCCCTCCTGATAGTCTTTTTATGAATAAAATGAAGGGTTTTTTTCAGTGGCTTCAGCCTGGGGTAAGAGCCAAAAAGCAAGAAAAGCCCCAGGTAAAGGGCAGCCCCATATCTGCACAGAGCAGAGGCCCAGTTAGAAGCAAAGCTTCCTCTGTCGGGATGACGGAAGCCCAGAAAGCCATGTCGGCCATTGGGAAGTTCCCAGAGGGGAGAGTGGGGCGTGGGCATGCAGGAGATGCCACCTGCCCTCAAGAGCCCCCTCCCTCGGCCGTGAAGTGTGCGGCCGCGCAGCAGAA